GATACTTGAAAAGTTAACTTTCATTATAATGAAATTTATCATGAGTTGTTTAATAAATCATCAGAAAAATAATGGATCTCTTCATGGGATATGAACCTAGATTCCTGGTAGCCAAACAAGAGCACCAACTATTAAACCACAACTTCCCTACTTTACATGATTTAATTGCCAACATATTAAGGTAAAATGTACATCAAGGTCTTCTACTTACAGAAAATTAACAATCAGAGGTCAGACACATACCTTGGTATAATAAGTATTCCTACAACTGTAACAAAGCGATGAAAGAAACGTGAATGAGATCAGACCTCAAAGAGAAGTTTTTACAGGAACTGATCCTTACTTGGCCCACACTGAATTCAATATGACAGGAACTGTTCAGCGCTTGGCCCCTGCCTGACAGATAAGAGAAGACCCTGTAGAGAAGGCTTGCAAATGTTTGACAGCTTGCCTTGATGACACAGGACCGAGATTGCAATCCTACAGTAAACTTAGTCATTTCCTTAGCAACCACCCTACGCTATTCCATACGTTTTGAACTCATTTACATATCCAGGTGAGGTGTAATCATAAGGTGTAAATTATAAATAATCAAATTGCTGTTGCTTTTTATTTTTATTACATTTTTAAAAATTTGTCTAATCATTTTAATAATAATAATAGGCCTACAGTTCCATTCAATTGTTTCATACTGTAGAGGAAAATGAATTTGATTTTATTTTAATCCATAATCAAATACTGGATAATTTTTTTTATTATTTTTCGTTGAGAAGAACATACAGTACATCACATCCACTAAAAGAAATGTCATAGAGAATGTCATAACTTAAGTTTGTGAGAATAACAGCCTGTCACTGTAATAATAACAATGATAATTGGAATATTATGAAACTGTTGTTAAAATGGAATTGAAAATATTTTAGATAATATTCATATGCAAGGATTTGATTACTGACTTTAGTTCTCCATACTTTGACGTTGTTTGTAATTCTTTCTGCTTTCTGTAAATTAATGTGTTGAATGGTGCTAACCGAAGCAAATTTGATTGTGACAAAGTTATTGACTATTTAGTATTGTTTTGACACGTTTTTCAAATTTTTAGATTTTTATGAAATAAAAATGTAGAATTAAAGTTTGTCCAAATGATTTTAGAAAAATATGTTAATTGATGACTCATGTATTATGATTTTCAGAAAAAAAAAACCCATATGCATATTCAAGAGGTCCAGTCCACTCCCACCCTCCATCATACAATTGTGAAAATAAAAAATAATACAATATTTAAAATGGGGAAAAAAGTAAATTATATTTAAATTTTAAGTCTAAAGTGCTATTTCTGGCCATTGAGAAATTCAAGAGATGCAAAATGTTGTACCAACCAGGGCAGGGCTAAGGTAGTCGAACCCTTTATCTGCAGAACTGCATTTATGAGCCCCTCAAATTCGATTTCCTTGATCTACCACTGATAACCTACCATTGTTTTCCATCACACTAGTATGATGACAATATACCTAAATGATACTTTGAGATTGTTATCATATGAATGATAGAATTTCTCTCATTCAAATGATAAGAATCTCAATCATGTCTATTTCCTCAACACTACTAATTTGATTACAATTTCACGACAAATATTGTAAATTTTTAGAGGTGAAAATATTCCAAGTTGAGGGGGCACTTCATCACAGCAGGTGAACAGGCTTTCTCTTCAGCAGCATCCTCTTTCTCTTCAACAACATCCCCTACCTTCTGTAAAAATGTTCCTATCAACTTTTAAATTATTGATAACACCACAAAAAATACAAAAAAAACAAAAAACTAAATTAAACAAATAAAAAAAAAAAAAAAAAAAAAACTTCAATATTCAAAGGGCCCAGCTGCTTCCCCAACTCCTTAAAATCCCCCACTCACTCTTTAAACTTTTCAGAATTTACAAAAATATGGAGAAAAAAAAATTTAAGTCTGAAGCCAAATTTACACTAGACACGATTACGACACGACGACGACATATCATCACATAGTTTGTGTTCTTCAAAACTGCACACATTTGTATCGTGTCGTAATTGTGGCTAGTTGCTGTGCCATTACCGGCCATATTTATAGGTGCCATGTATTCATAATGTTCTTGCCTTATTATATTAGCCCCAACCACAGTGGGCATCTCTATCGTGTCGTAATCATGTCTAGTGTAAATGTGGCTTCAGACTGCTGTGCCATTTCTGGCCATATAATTATAGGTGCCCCATGAATTCATAATGTTCTTGCCTTATTAGCCCCAACCACAGTGGGGCTGTAGTGGTCTAAACCCTCCATGTCAAAGGCTCTCCCCTGCCTGGCCTCTATTTCAAATTCCTGAATCTACCATTGCCTATGCTAGGCCTGGCTTAAACTAGGCCAGCCAGGTGGCTAGGCCGCCGCCTAGGCCAACATCCAACAAGGCCAGACTTAATTATGCATAGGCCTAATTTTGCAAGGGAGTTATCATCAGACTTTCTTTATTTATTATTAGGCCTAGGCCCTATATATTTAATTTTTAACTTTTAAGAAAATTATGAGGCTAGGAACTAACCCCTAAAAATTACTTCATAATACAGTATGTAATACTGGATAGAGATGCTTGTTGATACCGCCAGAATAGCTGGGCTTGGGCTTGGTTGTGAAGCCTTTTCGAGGTAGGTGATGGTAGTGGTGGTCGTGTCCGCAAGGCTAACAAGTCTTTCTTACATAAATACAGAATTAGCTGGCCTAGCTAATCACCCACCTAGGCCTAGCAAACAAATTGATTTGTAAAATATATAATTATTATATTTTATCCAAAACAAAATAAGTGTAATCACCGATTTACCATACTTGGATATCAATTCATAATTACATAATAACACTAATATTACCTGGATAGAAAAGAAATTTTAAAAATGAAATGATGATAACCATCTTCTGTCTTATGTTTGTTGTTTCACGTTTCGCTGCATCAATATCCAGAGCATGCAGATCTAGGACAACCCGATTGTGTTTTGTTTTTTGTTCGGAATGTATTTCTAGCAAGCAGCAATCTACCGCACGGTGATAGTATTTCTGCGCATGCGTTAGTTTTTGACATGTACGATTTCCCCATAAAATGATCAGAATATTTTATGTTGCGTTCAATCAATCATCGAATTTATATAGTGCCAAAATCCATCAAAATATCCAAAGGCGAACAGCAAACTAGCCTTGTCTTGAAAATATTAACAGATTGCCAATATCGCAGACAAGTCTTGAGGAACAGAATCCACAGACGAGACAACAAACTCAGCAACGTGACTACAAAAGAAACACACATCAAGCTATTAACAAATAAATAGATCAAAACAAAAATACAAGAAGCTAAACAAAATTTAAAAATTCAATACAGTACGTAAAATATTTTTACTGGTATTAACAGTTCTCTATTATTATTATCATCACCATCATCATTAACATAATCATTATTGTTATTATTACTATTGTCATTATTGTTATAGGCCTATTATTATTACTGTATTATTATTTTTGTTATTATTATTATTATTATTAATATTCGATTATTATTAATATTATTACTCTGATTATTATTGTTATCATTATCACTGCATTCTTGGCCATTATAATTATTATCGTCATCATCAATTTTATTACAAGTACTAATATTACTAATTAGCATTACATATATTGTTATTAGTATCATTATTATTGTTACTACTACTATTATTATTACTGTCATTATTATTTTACTACTATTTTTGCAAGTTAATATTATCTATTACTGTTATTTTAGGCCTGTTTAGTTAATCTGATGTACATTTTTTTTTAAATATTACTATTATAAATAATAAAAAAGTTAGGGATTATGAATATCAGATCAAAGAAATCAAAAACAATAAATAAATATAAAATAAAAGAAACAACAAAACAATAATAGTATTAATAACTTTAAAAGAGATAAATATATAATACATAATAAAGGTTGTTTAGCATTTAATTAGTGGGTGGTATTTCATTTAATATAATTGTTCTGTATTTCCATATCATGCAGTTCATCCAATTCTGTCGTAAGGACATTTTAAATTAATAAAGGTCATAAAGTAAAATTCAACAGTTCCCTTCGAAATCATCCCGTAATTATTTGTATCCATAATACAATAAAAAGTTAGGGATTATGAATATCAGATCAAAGAAATCAAAAACAATAAAAAAAATATAAAATAAAAGAAACAAAACAATAATAGTATTAATAACTTTAAAAGAGATAAATATATAATACATAATAAAGGTTGTTTAGCATTTAATTAGTGGTTGGTATTTCATTTAATATAATTGTTCTGTATTTCCATATCATGCAGTTCATCCAATTCTGTCGTAAGGACATTTTGAATTAATAAAAGTCATAGAGTAAAGTTCAACAGTTCCCTTCGAAATCATCCCGTAATTGTTTGTATCCATAATACAATAAAAAGTTAGGGATTATGAATATCAGATCAAAGAAATCAAAAACAATAAAAAAAATATAAAATAAAAGAAACAAAACAATAATAGAATTAATGACTTTAAAAGAGATAAATATATAATACGTAATAAAGGTTGTTTAGCATTTAATTAGTGGGTGGCATTTCATTTTATAATTGTTCTGTATTTCCATATCATGCAGTTCCTCCAATTCTGTCGTAAGGACATTTTGAATTAATAAAGGTCATAAAGTAAAATTCAACAGTTGCCTTCGAAATCCTCCCGTAATTGTTTGTATCCATAATACAATAACTCTTAGTTAAGTTCGTAAAAATATTTATCTTTTATACTGTATTATCATGTACATTGAAATACAAAATGACCAGTGCTTTCGATGCTATTGTTATTACATAATTTGCAGTAACTGAATGCTTTAATACGTTCATGCACATTTTTAATCCACCTTTCAAAATTCAATACTTGTTTACCGCCCTCTATCGATTCCCGGAAGTTTATGCAATTTTTAGTTTACGCCATGATATTTAGCTTGTTGCTAATGATATAGTAAGGAATGATGTCCTTCCTTGTTTTTTCGTCGGTTGTGTTTCTGCAGTATACTATTTACAGTTAAACTGATATTCGTCTACTAGTAAGTATGCATTTGTTAACTGAATAATACTGTGATAGGTCTGCAGGCTAGAACATAGGCCAACTAAAAATAAAATCTATCTAGGCCTAGGCCTAGCTAGGGATCGGGAAAGAAAGGATAGTTTTACGGTCCTACTAAATACCACACGGAACACACGGGACCACTCGAGACCACACGGGTGCAAAAAATGGTTAAAATATTACCACACGAGAGTATAAAACTGCTATATAATCAATAAAAACCAACTTTTATAATGGCAATTATCCAAAATATGGTAAAAATTAATTTTTTTTAAACAGGTTTTTCCGCCGCGCTTCGGAAGGTAATGCGTTGACATTGAGGTTCTTTAACGCATTCACGTCTCCAGAAAAAAATTTGCCATTTTAGGCCTCTGTGGGTTTTATTCATAGAGCTATTAAACAACTAGAGTGCTGACAAGATGGCGCAGCAATGCAGAGTTATGTATGTGTACCATCCAAGATGGCAGTCGTAGTAAAGTGCCACCTTCAGGCTTAGTATACAAATTATTACATATTAATAAGCCCTCTGACTGATTATTATTTTATTAATGATAATGAGTAATGGTAATAACAAATTATTAAACTATTGTAGCTAAAACTAGGCCAAGTGGAGCATCTTATTCAAAAATAAAGTACCAAGGAATGAAAATTAAAATCGTGTACATTACACCCAAACACCGCAACGCTCGAGTTTCAAACATACGGGTAACTAGCTGTACTGAACTTTCTGAACTTTCTGAGTAAATTGAGGGCGCAATTGAAAACGATGGTGCTTAGCGAAATTTGATTGGCTAAATCTATGGCAGCCATCTTGGATGGTACACACACACAGTTCTGCGTATTTCGAACATCGAATACATTGCGGTTAGCGCTCTAGTATTCTTATTATATCTCTATGGTTTTATTCCATCTAATGAGTATCTTCCGAATTCATCCTCACAGAGCACAATAACAATTAATTGAAAGATATGTAATGGATATAAATGGTAGATAAATAAGAGCACAGCACATTATTTAAAAAAAATAATAACAAAGGTTAAAATTAGTAACATAAATACGTTTATTACTAAACGAATATCTCGGTCGTTCCTACAATAAACCTTCTTTAAACAATTTCTTAGCATAAACAATAAGGGCGTAGGCCTAAACTTCATAAAATAACAAATGGTTTATATAGCTGTACAGAGCTGATGCATGCTAATTAGCAGAGGTTACTTATACAATATACTGTACATGAATTGGCCAACAGTTCCAGTTTGGAAGGCAAATGGGAAAAACCCATAAAACAGCAAACGGCCATATAATGCAAAACAATTTAAAATTAAAATTAAAACGAAACAGTAGAGAAAATCCGATCAGAATGACAAAATAAACTAAGCATCCACTGGAAGGAATCCCAATATCTGCAGACGGACTAAGCTAATTCTTTACTGTGACAAGTTGAGTTCTGTATTTACTGTATTCACTTCTAATATATTTTATCAAATGCAATCTTCTTTATTCCATTGATGTAGGCCCTTCACTGAAAAAGAAAAAAAAACACATATACGAGCTTGACAGAAAATAAAAATAAACGATCAATCTAACAATACATAAAAATTCAAATTCTCATTTTCGTTTTATGTAGAATAGGTTTATTACCGTTCACGTAGCAGTATATAACGGCCTATCTTGATTGATGCTATGAAACACAGACATGAAGGTCATGGTTGAATACGTTTCTGCTGACACGTCAATGCGTTACAGACCCACAATGTCAACGCATTACATACCGACATACGACGGGAAAAACCAATAAAACAAAATCAAGATACATCGATTTTTAACAGAATTCGGATAATTACCGTTCTAAAAGTTGGTTTCTATTGATTATTAAGTAGTTTTCTACTCTGGTGGGGTAATATTTTTATCATTTTTGCACCTGTGTGTTCCCGAGTGGTCCCGTGTGTTCCGTGTGGTATTTAGTAGGACCCTAGTTTTAAGCCTCTCTAGTCTTGCTTTTAAAGCCGCTTTGAAGCAGTTCACCCACCAGAGGGAGCCAGTTTAACATCCTCGAAGAGAGAATTTCAAATGAAAACAAATCTTATCTACATCGAAGGGACTTTACGAGTTCATTCTTAAACAATTTACTAGCTTGGCCTGGCCCTAGGAATAGGCCTTTTTTCACGAATCGGTAGACATATTGAAGTGATGACAAACATTGCGAATCAGCGGTGCGTAACCAACAGAAATAAGATAAGCTTTTGGGCTGATTTTCTGACATCATGTTATTTAAAAAATCATAAATCCATAACGGGGCGTCGTATCCAAAAAATTTTTCCAGCAAAATGTTCTTAAAAGACAAGTCTATACCACTATATGATTGTAAAAAATTGAAAAATGTTTTTGACCTCTGAAATCAAGATGGAAAAAGAAAAGCCTATCTTAGTAGTGTATTAAAA